TATAGATATATATTGTTCTTTATATCTAGTTTATATGTAAAAATGTACAAATAAAAGTATATCCTCCAAAATGAAACCTTAATGAAAACTTAGAATATTTTCACCACATTGTTAAAACCATTTAATATTTAAATCTCTAGTTATACAAAGATTAATTTTATAAATATTTACAAAATATATTAGATATTCCTAACAATTTGCATTATCCAATTTTATATTCAGATACATATGTCAATTAATACTGACCATTATTGGAAAACTTTAAATCTACAAATCTAAATGAGAAAATTAAATTTTTCATCTCCTTTTCCTCTCTGTTTTCTCCGTCCAGGCATTTTCTAGGTATTTAATATTGTATTTTGCATTATAAAATTATAATGACTTTCAAAAATCTTAGTTTAGAACATACCATTTACACTCCATTTAACATTATTCATTAAAAACAATTTCCACTATTTTGGATACGTATTTTTCATCTTCTGACATCAAGCTCCACAAACTTCTAATATTGCCTGTCAACTCCAAGAGCTATCCTATTATAAACCTAATTCATGAAATCAAATTAATCATGGCCTCATATGTTTTTGAGTAAATCTATATTTTTATCCCATAAGAAGTATAGATAAAACTCCTTCTTTAAAGAGTTCAATAATTCATTAGTTTTCCTAAAGGTTTATTATTAAAGGCATAATTAAATTAATAAAAATCAAATCTGCACTTCATAACAGGCAAGAAAATAATAAAAAGGCAAGCAGAAAATAAAAATATTCTCATTTAATAAGAGCCTTATTTAGAATTTCAATTTTTAACTAATATGTTAAAAACAAAAACTGTAAATTAGATATGTAATAAATAAGATAGAGGGATTTAATTTAAATAATATCTTAAATTAAATGGTTAACATAGATGACTGGAGCATTTCAATGTAATAAATCTAATAGTTAATTTTCAAAATAGATAGTTTGAAACAAAACTATCAGTTGCTTAAATTATCCACATCTTTATCAATGAGTCAACTACTTTATGACAATAACAATTTGTATTAAATAGAGATTCACTAACTTTCTCTATGCTTATGTTGTAAAGTATTTGTGGCACTTTCAAAAAATCTGGTTGCTTGTTTAACTGAGCCTTAGCGTTGTGACAAAAGCCTATGCATTACGAATTGCAAAGAAGCATAAGTGGATTTTGTAAATCTCCATCATTAAAGAGAGAGAGTTAATATTTCACCATTTATCTTATGTTACTTATTAGATAAACTATAATTGATAATTTTGAAAGTCGCTAGTTTTAATTCTACTTTACCATCATTATTGTATTTTAATCAAATTCAAAGAAAAATTTACTTCATATAATAATTATATAATTTTGTTTCCACACAGCAATTTTAAATTCTGAGTTTAATTAAAAGCGATTATGTACCATTATTAATTTGTCTTAGAACTTGACATTGATAGCCAATTTTTATAATTAACATGCTAGCTAATTGAGAACTGTATTTATATATGCAATATTCTAATTGATCATTTGTTAAGGAAGAACAATTTAATTAACCTTATGATTACTTACAACTTGTAGACTTCAAATAGTAATGAATTGGGCTATCTATTTCATTAGAATTAGTTTATCAGAAAAAAAATAATTATTTTATTATCTTCCATTCATTTGAACCTATGTTAAATTTATCCAAATTATAGTTTTTGATCAATCTTATCTTTGCTAAATGTGAAACTCAGAGAAATTGTACTATTAATATACTCACCCTCATTTTTATAAAGTATTTAATTCAATCTGACTTTAATTCCCAAGTATTTATTTCATCAAGGTGGTTAACATCTTTCCAAGGTCATCTTTAAAAT